TGTGTGTTGGGTGTTGTGTTAGTGTGGCTGTGGTCTTGTGCGGGAGGGGCCGTGCTGCTCAGAATGAGTGCGGGTCACCCTCACCCTCGGCCTGCTCCCAGTCCTGACGGCCAGCAGTATGTAAGTATGGTCCTGTGTGTGCAGGACACTCTGCCACAGGTTGTCGTGTGTCTCTGGGACACCGGAAGGGACAGTGACACCACCTGTGGGCCTCTGGTGTGCGCGAGTGAGACACGGAAGGCTTCTCAGAGCACATTTGGGTGGCAGCCTTGGGGAGTCCCAGAGGCACTCACCACTACCTCCCTGCCCTCTCTGTCTGTGACAATCGGAATAAAATGAAATGAAGGAAAATCGAGAGGCTCTGAACCATTCTGGCAGGCATGGGGTGTGCAGGCTTCTGGGAAGGAGGCCTGTGTCCCTGTCCCAGCGCTCTTTTCTTCTCTTCCACTGAGATAGACAGCGGCGGCGTAGCAGCGGCCAGGCGGCAGCGGAGCGAGGGAGCGCAGAGCGCAGGCCGGTGCGGGGCTCCGAGTTCCCCTCCTGCCTGAAGTCCGAGAAGGAGAGGACTGGGGAGAGTTGGCCCTGGGACTGAGGTGGCCTCTCTTGGCCCCGGGGGCCGGTGAGCACAGTGCAGGCTCACTCGCAGGCGGAGGCCACCGACGTGACGCTGGTGATCTTAGTGGAGTCGTCAGACCAGGGCTGCAGGTTCTGCAGGGCGAAGAGCGAGGAGTTGTGCACGCACAGGGGGTCAGCAGGCAGTGGCTGTGCCAGGCTCTTCTGGAAGGCCTCCTGCTGCAGCTGCAGGAGGATGCGGTTTGCCTGCTGCCTCTCGGCCTCACGTTCCTCCGCGGTCTGTCGCCTGCACGGGAGCAAGCTGTTACGGCCAGGACTCGGTTGCGCTCCCGCAGACCAGGGGATGGCCTCGGGCACGCTCCTCTTTCACGGCTCCATTTAACACAGGCCTTCTCTGGGAGGGTCGTGACTCTGACAGCGCTTGGACACCGCCAAGCCGGACAAAGCCGCGGTGTCCCCGAGGGTGTGCAGCAGTGGAAAAGCCCGCTAGGCTCAAAATGCGGGCTGCGCGCCTGTGCCTGCCCACAACTTCCCTGGCAGTTAGGTTCAGGCTGGCCTGTCGCCTCCGTCCAGCCCTGAGGGCCCAGGGGCCTCACCGCCCTTAGAGCGGGGCAGAGGCACTGGCCAGCAGCCGCCCTCCCTCCCTTCCTCTGAGAGTCTCTCCCAGGCCCCGACCTCCAGTCCCAGCGGTGCCCTGCTGGGCTTGCCACGGACCCGCTTCCTCCGAGGAGGAGGAGGTCGGGGCTGGCGATGACTCACTTACTCCATTTAATGCCTTCCCCCCCTGTCAAATGAGATCAAACGTCTGTCTCTAAGGTGGACAGACCTAATGGGAGTCCCCGGGGCCTCCAAAAGCAATTTGTAGGCGATCGATGAAGCCGCTTTGCGAAGCCTTCCAGGGCCTCTTCCAGGGCTGCCGCGACTTCTTGCTCCAGTGTCTCCCTGCCTCTCATCTCTCCTCCTTCCCTGAATTTCAAATGGCGAGTGTTTCTCTTCCCTGGAGCTCCTATCTGTCTCTTGTTTCCTCTTATCACTGCCCCTCCGTTCACTCCGAATTAAGGGAATTTGTTTGAAACGAAAACGGCGATTTTAACCATCCAAAGCTTTCCTTTATTACCCACAAGGTTTCTTCTGTCCGCCTTCCTCCCTTTTTGCAGGAAAGGGGACTATCTTTGTCTCTACCCTTTGTGTTTCAGTTTCTCTTTTCCTACCGCTGTCTTTCCGTGCACCCTCTCTCTTGGGGTGGGGTCTGGCTTCCTCCCCTCCCTAGGCCGCACCCCGTAGTAAACCTTGAAAATACCCGGGCACCCCTCTCCTCTCTACCTTCACAGGGCTGAGGCCACGTTCCCCGCCCCTCCCCGGTGGCAGGAATGTGGGGGGTGGGCTTCCTTTGTGGCCCCTAAGGCGGAATCCCGGGCGGATTCCTGGCCTCCATTCTGGAAAAGAGGAAACTCCGATTCCTTTCTCCCGCCCCAGGCCACCCCGCCGGCACCGCGGACTTCGCCAGACCTTTTGCGGCCCCTCTCCCCGCAGCGAGTGTGTGCCTAGTGCGGCACCCACCGAGGGTGCGAGCCAGGTTCGAGAGGTGCAGGGGTGCACTGAACGGGCTGCTAAGGAGTGCGTAGGGTTAGGGGACAGCGGGCAGTGAAACCCGGAGGTAAGGTACGTGCATGTGAGAAAACAAAAACTGTAATAAGTGTGACGGCAGAAGGGAAAACGTCTCTCTCTCACGCGCACCCATCTGCTCCTCATTGATCCCCCTTTCAG